ACTCCTCCAAAACTGACAATATCAGGGGGAGTTTACTCCGGGCTCAAGGGATATTCTATTTCGTTGACCCCGGGACAGACGTACTCAGCAAGCTGTGACGTGTCTAGGGGTCAGCCGCCCGTGTCCAGTGTCACACTGACCTGTCCGGGCGTGAGTCAGAAGACGGTGTCCGGCACGTCAGTGTCTCTGTCCAACATTCCTGTCGTTAAGTGGGCTGACCAGGAGAAGTGTGTATGTGCAGCACAGCATGTGTCACAGTGCTACAACCTGAGGACTGAGGTCACGATTAGAGTGCTGTGTAAGTGCGTTTTCATTTTAGTAGAGGTTTTACGGCGCTCGCAACTGCATAAGGTCATATGAGCGCCATTTGTAAGTACCTGGGTACAGTGCAGCCATAAGTATCTTGGATGTCTGTAGAGCAAAGGAGACTGAACTGACAGATAAAGACAGGAAGGTCGCCAAAGAGGAAGACATACGTAATTAGTAAGTTAGTGAGAGAGGGGGAGGGAGAGAGACAGAGAGAGGAGAGAGACAGAGAGAGAGAGAGAGAGAGAGAGAGAGAGAGAGAGAGAGAGAGAGAGAGAGAGAGAGAGAGAGAGAGAGAGAGAGAGAGACTGTTTTAAGGAGCTGGTTGCAGCACGTGAGACAAATATTTTAAAATTAATGTTCTGTCTTGTGTGTATATATATGAGCATACCTAAGCTTTGCAAGACAAATTTCTCCCTGCGAGATGAATAAAGATTGTCATTGTCATTGTCACTGCCATAATCATTGTCCCAATGACGACTAAAAGATTAAAGTTTCAAAACTTTTAACATTAAAAATATATATTATTATCTCAGGGCTCTCTTTCTTATAATACTTTTCTCAAATGAAACTTCGTTTAAAATTCAAATTAATTCTTTTAAAAAACACACAAAAAACCCACAAAACATACATTTCTCCCACAGTCCCACCCGAAACTGTCACCTTTGAGAGAACAGACAGGGGCAATATCTCACCTGTGGACATCTGCCCAGACTCCCAGCCTGAGATACCGCTCCAGTGTAGCGCGACCTCTAACCCCCAGCCACAGTTCACAATTCTCGTGAACGAACAAACATATTCAGGGCCACTTCAAGGTCAGGTGGTTAAAAGTAGAACAAACACCTACGTGTACTCGTATGACTTTGTGCCGGAAGCTGGAGGAACCTACAACATCACCTGTACTGCCAAGGGAGACAAGACAGCGCTTGTTGAAAGTGACCAGCTCACCATTTTCGTCAGAGGTACGGTCTGTCTAAATGTGAAGTGGTTAGTCTCTCCTCAACGTATTTTAAAATGTCGCATAATTTAAACGTTCAAACCAAACAATGTTTCGGGGTTTAAAATCCAAAAACCCTACGACAATAATTATCAGGAGAGGGAATCCCTCATAAAATACTGGGACATACATTTATTAAACGCTTTCATTTTAGAACAATTGGGCCGAATTAGACTATGATCTACACAATCGAACACATACATTCTTTTTTTCAGTGGAGCGAATCGAATCGGTTGAATTGTGCCAAAATGATAGCTTTTACCCTTTCATGAAGGAAAAAACAACTGAACCCGATTGAATCAAATAAAATCGAGCACTTGGTATAAGTGTGAATAGCTTAAATAAAAGAAGGCAAAGATATTGTAAACTGACCGATCTTCATTTTCAGAACCACCTCAAACGGAACCGAAAATCACCATAACCAGCATCGGACCATCCGGCAACGTCTCGAAAAACGCGGAAGTCATCTATAAAAGCATCGCTACAAATGCCACCTGCTTGGTTGATGGTGGATACCCGCCCGTGACGTCACAAGACATTCTGTTGACTTGTGGGAACCTCTCCGGCTCTGAACAGATAACGCTTCCACCCGGGCACTCTACAGACGGAGAAATAGCCTGCTCTTGTAGTGCGTCTCACATTACTGGATGTTACTCACGATCTGCTCACACAAGATTTAACGTTTCAGGTAAAGGATAAAAGTCTACTTTGTTTTAGTTAGCGTTCCACGACACATTTGTGGGGTGTGCTGACAACATGAGATTTATAATTTATAGATTTTTAATTGATGCCATTTTGTTCAAGTCTTTTATTATTCCATACTTACAAATTGCACAAACTCCACCTATGAAGTTGATGTATTAATTTCCATACGGTTAAAATCGGAGAAGTAACTCATTTCGTCAGCACACCTCACATTGTAGTTTTAGTGAGAGTTTTACGGCACTTGGGACACAATAAGGTCATGTAAGTGCCGATGACTAGAGGTGTTACAAGTGAGTAACAAACATAAAAAAGGAGGAGAGATAAAGACAATAGTTGTTTAATAGCAAAGAAGGAGCAAACCACACCAGAGCATCCTCCAACCACCAACTCCACGCCACATATAAATGCTGAAGATTAGAGGTGTTACAAGGGAGTGTCCCCCCCAAAAAAAAGACAATAATAATATGGAGAAGAGATATTACAGACGATAGATGTTTGAATTGATAGGACAGACGGAGCAAATCAAACCAGAACACCCACCAACCAACCACTTTGGAACCTAACTCTCTTAGCACCATTAATAGGTCAGTAGGACAACACAACAGAACCAGAACGGCGACCACCGGATGGCTTCCAAGAATCGAATTATTTCAGTGCTCTTCCAGAGATTTAGGGGGGGGGGGGTGAAGCAAGGAGATTGCTTTTATCCCTTTTAATCTAGGCGACGTATTTCATTTCATAGGAGAGGTGTGCTCACAAAATGGGTTACTTCTCCGATTTTAGCCTTATGGAAATTAATACAGCAACTTTATAGGTGGAGTCTGTGCAATTAAAATTAAAAATATATAAATAAATAATAAAAGACACACTAGACCTGAACAAAATGGCATCAATTATAAATCTATAAATCTGACCGTAGTGTCGATTTTCGGCCGACATCTCCATTCTTGGACATCGAAAAATAACTCATTTTGTCAGCACACCTCACAAACCAAAGACCTCGGGGTCTAGATTTAGAGTGGAATGTTCTATTTTTATCCTTCACTGAAGGCGGATGTGTCAGGCCGGTAAATGCCGGTATGGCAGCAGCATGATGGGAAGGCCAGTTTCGGCCGGTATAGCTTCAAAAGGGTTACCCTATCCGTGCGTCGTATTTTACTATCGTATCCATACGACGTGGGGAACTCTGTGCCACCATTTAACCCTATCCGTACATCGTGTTTTACTATCCTATCTATCTATCTATCTATCTATCTATCTATCTATCTATCTATCTATCTATCTATCTATCTATCTACAGCACTTCCACTGAGCCCTGAGGCGAGCACGGACAACTCTGACGTCACTGTGGTCGCCTCTGTTGGTGTCGCTGTTGTCGTCGTCGTCGTCATCGTCGTTGTGGTGATTGTGCTGGTGTTTAGGAGAAGAAGTAAGTGTGTGTGTGTGTGTGAGTGTGTGTGTGTGTGTGTGTGTGTGTGTGTGTGTGGTTTTGTTGTTGTTGTGTGTGTGTGTGGTAGCCTATCCGTTCGAAATGTTCGGAGCCCCGAAGAGTGTGCTCTTCGCCAGGGCCACCGCCTCCCTTGGGTAGCGGGTGAGGCAGTCCAACCTCCCAGAATCCTCCCCGAAGAGATGCCACCGCCGGGCCTCCGTGGCGGGGCATCTCTGCAGCCAGTGCTCCAAATCTTGGGGCTCCTCGCTGCACAATGGACATATTGGGTCCGATGTTTTGTCTATTCTATTTTTGTAGGCCCGAAGCCCAGAGAAATGACCGGTCCTGATTTTTGCCAGTAATGACTGGTCACTGCGGGACATAATAAGAGCCTCTCGTTTTAAGGAAAATGCCCTGTATACTTCCTTCGTCCGCGTGTGGCATATAGAGGGGTCTTTTGTAATTAGTTTTATCTGGGCGCACGCACTGTCATAAGTAATTTGGCGGCCTGGACCTGGCAGCGCTGTTGCCAGTTTGGCATTATTGTCAGCGAGATCGTTGCCGAGGATATCGCGGTGACCAGGGATCCACTGAATCGTGGGTTGAGGTATTGCATTATTTATGCGTAGTCGCAATTGGTCGAAGGATGGTGATGCTCCCACTAGTGCCATGCATAGTGATTGACTGTCGGTGAAGATAGCGACCGAGTTGGATGCATCGCACTCTTTGTCAATCCAGTCAATGGCCATTTCCAAGGCTCTCCTTTCTTCCTCGAAAGAGCACGTAAATATGGCGCCTTTCTCCCTCAATGTCTCGACAACGGTAGGGTTGGACGGGTTCCCCGTTGTGATGACGACTCCAGCGCCGTCGTCCGTTGTTCCTGCCCTAGCCGAGCCGTCAGTGTAGATATTGTACTGTGCGCCAAGCTCTCGTGCTCGACGAACAGCAGCGCTTTGAATCTTCCCACTGGAGTCACTCCTTCTGCTTATGCCGTACAGGTAGGGGAAAGTGATGTCGGGATTGATTCCACGTTCCCAGGGCCTGGTTTCGAAGTAAGTGATGGGCCTCCTCTCGCAGTCGAACAGATGTGGGCTCTTTTTGCTGACGTCTTCGGCCCTTTTTCGGAAATCCCTGCGTCCTTTTAGGCGTCTGTGCACTTGTTCCGTTGCCGCAATTCGTCGAGGGTGGTCGTTGTTCAGTCGGAGGGCCTTCTCTCTTGATCGGAGACAGTTAACATTTATGGTGGACTGAATGCTTGGGACCCCCGTTTCAGCTCGAAGTGCCTCGATCGGTGAGGACTGGGTTTGGGTGGTAATCAGTCGCAGACATCTGTTTTGAATCACCTCCAGATTATTTATCAGAGTTTTGCTCAGCCACGGTTGCCAGCTGCTGCTCGCAAAGTTGAGAACACTTTGTATATGGGTGAGGTAGACCTTGTGTAGGTCGTCTTTCCTCCATCCCCATTTTGAGTGCGCTATAGCGCCGAGCATCCTCATCTTCTGTGTGGCCTTAGCTATTACTGTCTCAACCTGTTTCCTGAACGTGAGCCTGCGGTCTCGAGTGTGACTCCCAGGAGTTTTGCGTAGGGCTCATACCTAATTGACGAATTATTTATCGTGATGCACGGCTTCCATTCCGAGTCAGATGTTGTGAGCGTGAAGAATGTTGTCTCGCTCTTTGAGCCGTTTAGCGTGAGTTTCCATCGCCTGCTCCAGTCAGCAACGATGTCCACCGCTCTTTGTGCCAGACTTTCGGCGTCTCGTGTCGTGCGTGATGAAGCGAGGATAGAGACGTCGTCAGCGTAGAGTGAAATTGTGAGATCGTCCAGAAGTAGTTTCGCCAGTTCGTCGATATAAAAAAGGAAGAGGATGGGTGCCAGGACCGAACCTTGTGGAAGACCTTGGTTCATTTTCCTGCTATTACTCAGCATTCCATTGAATCGGACTCTGGCTTGACGATTTTGAAGGAAGTCATTCAGCCATAAAACGTATGTATCTGGGATACCTCTGTCCAGGAGGGTGAGGAGTAGGCGTTTTCGCCAGACCGTGTCGTATGCCTTTGAAAAATCGAGGAGGACGAGTAGCGATTTCTCCTTCTTTTGGAAGCCATCGGAAGTCTTCTGCGTAATTCTCAGAATTTGGTCTTCCACACATCTCCCCTTCCTGAAACCAGCCTGCAGTTCGGAGAACCAGCCGTTCCGCTCGGCCATGTCGTACAGTCGTTCAGATACCATTCTCTCCATAACTTTGATGACACAGGATATGAGGCTTATCGGTCTAAACGACGTTAGTTCCGATGCTGGTTTGGCGGTCTTGAGGAGGGGGACAATGATGGCGTCTTTCCAGACTTGTGGGACATCAGCTGAGCGAAATGACATGTTGAAGATGGAGAGCAGTTTCTTCAGCGCTTTGGGACCCAGGTTTTTGAGGAAGGACGGAGGGATGTTGTCTGGTCCGGGTGATCCGCGGGACTTCATCTTTGCAATGGCATTCCTCAGTTCCCCGATAGTGAAATCGGGCTGGTCTGCCCTTGGGTTGTTCCGTAAGTATTTCAGTCGCTGTTTGAGTTGCCAGTTTTCGGCTCTGTCTTCTTTCGACATGTTTAGACTGTAGACGTTCGCGTAGTGGTCTGCGAATATGTCCGCCTTATGCTTGCTTGATGTCACCAATCGCCCATTGTGTGACATTGCTTCATTTGGCGAGTTTGTCTCAGGGGTACCGTTGAGGCTTTTTATGATTTTCCACATCTTGGTGTCGTCCTGTGAGTTGGTGGTTTTCTCGAGCAGTTTTCGCCAGGCGTCGGTCTTAGCATCGTTGATCGTCTCCTGCGCCACGTGGCACGCCTCTAGCCATTCTTTGCGGCGGGTTCACACCTCTTTCCGGAGTCTATTTCGCCTCCGGATTGCTCTTCGAACTGTGGGGGTTTCCCATGTCTTTGTGTGCCTGCCTGGTTTCACAGTGCCGACAATACGGGTACCGGCGTCCATCAGGGCAGTGTGGAATTCAGACACCATGTTGCGGATGTGGTTGTTCGACGGCATTCTAGTCACAGTGTCACGTTCAACGGCGTCGGTGAAAGCTTTCCAGTCGACACCGAACGATTTCCAGGTGACTTGACCCTTGAATACTGATCCATGGCTGACCTCAGTGTTAAGGGTCACGGAAATCGGCGCATGGTCAGAGCTGCCAATTCCGTCTACTGGGCACCGGGTGTGCTTCCCGCTCCATGTTGACCCACATATAGAGACATCAGGGGTACTTTTTCCTCCGGTTGATGGTAGGGGGAAGGGAGAGGGATTGGAGTTGGGATGGTCGTCATGTCTCGACTTGGTGTTGATACGAGTGTGTCTTCCGTCGTTCATTACCGTCATGTCGCTATCCAGTGTCCAGTTCAGCAGACTCTCCCCTCTTGCATCCGGTGGTTGAAAGGGATCCCAGAGGGGACAGTGGGCATTAAAGTCACCTAGTATGATAGACTCGGGTGTGGTTGGGACTTCGTCGGTTGCCAAACGTGTAGATTGTTGAGATGTGTGGGATCTGACGGGGGAGCAGTAGATGTTGCACAATGTGACCCATTTCCTCTTCCCGACCCTCACCTTAAACATCGAAAGCTCAGTTCCTCTGATGGACGCGTCTCGGACATGTTCGAAAACCAGGGTATTCTTGATATAAGAGATGAGACCTCCACCTCCGTCCTGGCTCCGTCTGTCCACCCTGATTGATGAATATCCCTCAAATCTAGGTGTCGTCTTACTTGGTTTTAGTTTCGATTCCTGGATGAGGCAGATGTCGGAATCACCCTCCTTCAAGCGAAGTCCAAGCTCGTTTGCCTTAGTTGTGATGCCATCGGCGTTCCACTGCATAATGCTGAGCGAACTTTTGGTCCACTTTTGGGGGTCCTTGGCAGATGTTTCGATCGCTGTGCCACCCACCACCCGTGTGAAGTCTCTGGGCTTATTCGACCGCTCACAACCCTCACAGCTCCAACTGTGGGTACCTTCCGCAGCGGCGTTTTCGAGCAGTCTCGTTAGTTTCGTGCAAGACTTGTGGAAGTACTGGGTACAGGACGCGCATGCAACTGGCGTGGTATTCACTCGGATTGGTTTCCGGCAGCCCTTACAGTTGGCCTTGGGCCGTGGGGTGGATGGTAGGGGGGTAGATCTGACAGTGTTATTTGTGATTGGGATTGCGGTTGGTGCCGTGTTGCAGGAGTGGGTTGCACACCTCCATTTTGTCTTGGGGTGGTACCTGCCGATGTGGCTGCACCTAACGTCCTTATGGCACTCGCTTGAGCATCCCAATTCGTCGCAGCGGAACCGGCCGGCGTTTTTCCTGAGCATCTTGCTGCAGACGCTGCACTCGCGTCTGGCAAAGGTCTCCTGTCGGGGTGTTTGGTCGACGGGGACTGGGGGTGAGCAGTGAGTTCTGCAGAGCCATTCGCGCTTCCTGGAGTACCGGGAGATGCCGCTGCAGGATGATGACATTTCTCGTTGCAGCCGTCAGCACTGCATATGAACGGGTTAAGAAGCAGCCTCTCTTTTCGGCCGCAGGCGTTGCAGACCTGTGGCGGCAGGGCATCCGGCGAAGGGGATGTCCTTTCGGCTTGGGCAACAGTGTTGATTGCGGTAGCTCCACTGTGGGTCGGAGAGTGCCGGTTGAGTGTCAGCTGAGTATTGTGAGTGGGGGTTTCTCTAGCGCTGGTGCTGTTCTCATTGGAGGCTCTGGGTCCTGGGGAGAAAAAATGGGGAGGCCGGGCCGCCTCTTGGAGTCGCGCAGTCTCTCTGGGGGCGGTGTCGGCTTGGGTTTGGTGTCCTTTTGTTTGACCTGGGTTTTTTCTCTGAGATATTTCAAATTGTAATGTTCTTTTCCCTCCTCTCTTGGACCGTTTAGTTTTTGGGATCCTATTTAGATTGTTTTCTCTTAGTTTCCTCATAACATTGGGAGATATAAAGACATGGTTCATTGGTCGAAATAACAACAGAGTGTCTGGGGAGTATGTTGTTCTATTTTCCCTTTCGGTGAATATCTCTACACTGTCCATTCAAACCGATGATTGGGGACCATGACGATTAGGGGAAGCTCGTAGAAAAAATCGTGAATCTTAGATCGAGCTTCTTCCTCAGATTAAGCAGAAACAATGAGTTTCACTGTAAAGAATAAATAATAAATAAGAACTTGACGTCATGATTATTTGCCAACCGGAAGTTTGTTGTTGCTGTTGTTTTTTCTTTACTCCAAGGACAAAGCTATCACATTAATCGCCGAAACTAAATGCACATGATGGTAGATCTATAACTTTTTAAAAATATCCAGGAATTAAAAACAGTCAGGAACACCACAAATTAAGAGGAGCACAGAAGGCTGCCTGTTGGCGCGATCATCACTCCTCTTGTTTTGTAACTAATATCACACTTCCGGCCGAGATATGTGCTGTTGCCATCTAGAATCTAGTGAATACCGTGACTAAACAGCAGTCTTTATAATTAAGACAATGATTCCAATCCAAACCGATGATTGGTGACCATGAATATTAGGGGAATCTCGTAGAAACAATCTTGAATCGTAGATCGAGCCTCTGCCTCAGATTAAGTAGAAAAAATGAGGTTCACTGTAGAGAGTAAATAAAACCTGACGCCATGATTATTTGCCAACCGGAAGTGTTGTTGTTGTTGCTGTTGTTGTTGTTGTTGTGGTGGTGGTGGTGATTGTGCTGGTGCTGAGGAGATGAAGTAAGTGTGTGGGTCTTTTTGTTGTTTGGTTGTTGTTGTTGTTGTTGTTGTTGTTGTTCTGGTTGTTTTTTGGTAATGTTTTACGGCGCCCGCAACTACTGCATTAGGTCATATGAGCGCGCGGCTCACATTGAACATTTTTCAGTTGGCAGGAAATTTAGGATTTGGCCCGGCTAGCTCTTATCGATATTAGACCTTCAAGGGATCTTCAACGTTCGCCCAATTTCCACACGGGACCTCCGAGATTTTTCACACTTGTCCGAGAAGGCTAGGTGTAGATCTTTCCTACCAGAAGATCAGGGATGTGGCAGAAAGACAGCTGTAAGGAGGAGCCAAGAAGTAGTAGTAGAAAGGCTGAAGAAAGAGTCAGGAGCCCAGAGGAGGGGGAAAGGAGGTGAAGGGGTTGGGGCAGAAAGTGGAGACGAAATCTGACGACAGAACATTGCTAGTGAGCAGGAAAGGAAGTGAAAGGAGACAATGTTAGAGAAGAAAAATGTTCGGTCGCATCCCGGAATCGAACCAGGGACATTCGAATGAGAGGCAAACACCTTAACCTCTAGGCCACGAGAGCCTCGAAATAAGTGCAAAGTGCAAAGAGCCGTCGGTAGGC